CTTAATTGCAAAATACACTGTTTATTACTTTGGCTTACAAAATGATTATCCTTTCCTGGAACGATTGGGCTGAGAGAATTATTAACCATGAAAAAGGGTTTCAATTATAAATAACGGTATTTTACTGTTGATCTAAGTGCATGATCTGGTACCTGAACAAGAACAAGGGGCTAAAACGCTGCAGGAAGAATTACCAAAATATTCACCAAAGCTGCAGGTAGGTCAAGGACTTGGTAGAAATTTGGGGAAAAAAGAACTACAGAGAATATATGTGAAATAGACTGCTACACACATAAAGGCTCAATAACTGCTAGCTATTACCTCTAGGCAGGATTCTTAACTTTCTTATCCTCAGTTTCCTCCTCTGTAGAATGCAGACAAGAACACATACCACCTCACAGGAGTATTGCTGAGAATGAGAGATGGTAGCTCTAAAGCTCTTGATATAGTTATGTGCTAACATTGTTACTAACCATGTAACTGTGTGAGGCAATGAGCAGATTCTATACTGAAATTAGACTGAGCAGTCTCACATTCCACTTCCAGAAAACCCAGGGAGTATGATTATCCTGGGACCATCATATACGGTATTTTAGGAACTATTTATAAACATCAACCAGCAGGATATATTATATGCACTTAAGGACTACAACTATGGTTTTATTTAATATATATTGAGACAAACGAGGGCATGAAAAAGATAGGACATTGGAATGATGGTTTCTCTCTTAAATACATAAAAAGAATAAGTAGGAAAGTATAAGTAGAGCTAAAACATTTAATAAACCTTCAAGTCAGTTGTTGAGTCCACAAAAACATTTCTTCTCAAGATCTAAGAACTAGCCTCTGGTTTTATTTTCCTCTAAAGAGCCTAATCCCACAAGTATTTCTGAAAGCTCACAGGATGGCTTACCTGTGGAAGGTGCTCCCTTTGTATCCTATTGGAACCCCATCTTTTCTATAACCAAAAAGAAAGAGACTTGGAATGATGACAGGCAATCATAGGCCTTCCCAGTTACAACACACTGGAGCCAAAGGGACTCTCCTAAAGATGGTAGAGAGAAGAGACATAAAGAAGGCAAATAAACTAAGGATAGACCCCTGGGATACCACCTCCTAACACTATCACCAGCAATCGTTCAAGGCCTGTGGTTCCCCAATACCCTCACTACAGCCCCAGGACATCCCTCAGAGTAGGCAAAAAAGTCAAACACGTCTGAGACTGACCTGAATTCTCCAGTGCAAAACTGCCTGAAAGGGAAAAGAGTGAACGATTCAGTCACGGTGACATCATCGGTGTAGGGGAGAGTACAGATATTGGAGCCAGCAAGCCCACCAATTGGCCAGCCAGATGTCCAAACACGCAGGCATACAAACTAACAGCATAAACTGACACGGGAACAATCAAAACGGTAACCATTCAGACAGGGCAATACCAGAGAAATAAGATCTCAAGGACAGTGGAGAGACAGAGGCAGATAGACGATTCGGGGGACTAACTTGAGACGGCTTCTAGCTCGGCTAATCCGACAGAGCTGAAGCATTTCCTTACCTAAAGTTCTCGGCCGTTTTAGGCACAACGTCTGCAAATAGCTCGATCTTCATGCGGCCAACTTCCTGCAATCAACCAGAGATGGTCAGAAGGCCCAGCCCAAGACCGTGAAGGCCTCACGGGGCAGGCAGCATGACTGGCTGACCCACCACCCGTGCCGTGCCGTGCCGTGCCGCTGGGTATCTCCCTCCTCCGCCCCCTTAGCCCAACCTTTCATTCCACCCAGTTCCTCCAGAAGCGGTGCGCTAGGATGGCCAAGGCTCCTCCTCCTCCCTGTCCCCAGCCCAGCCGGTCGATAGCTTCTGGTGCAATTTCACTCCTGGCTTCCCGAGTCTGCTGTCTGGGTTGGTGAGTTCTGCCTGCCTAACCCCGTACAGTTCCCCTTTGGCGCAGGTCTGGGTGCCGCCTGGTTCTCACCTGGCCGCCAATGCTGACATCAAAGAACACCACGGGGTTGACAGGGCTTGAATTTGCCACCGCCATAGCTCCGACCCGGAAGCAGAAGTAGAGAGCACGGGGTTCTGGGGAACCTAAACCCAGCCCCCGAGGAGAGGTGCCGCGGCGGAGGATGGAGATGCGGTTTGTCCACAGCGCAGGCGCAGTAGAAACCGAGCGAGGCCGGGTCCCGCCCCCGGAAGCATTTCCCCTCAGTGATGGGCGCTCCGGCTACTGCGGATCTAGAGCTGGCGGCTGTGGACGAGGGAGTAGGGAGGAAAGCGTCGGCATCTTTTTGCTCAAAGTCAATGGGCACCCCGCTCTCATGGCTGTTCTAAGTGCAGTACAAATTAATCTTGCTCTGGCTAGAGCACTATGCAGTAGCCAAGGTCCTCATCAGCTCTTGCAGCTAAGCCCTCTGAACCGTCACACGTGCTATTTCTTCTGCCCACTAGTCGGTGAGCCCCATGAAGGCAGGAACTCTAGTTTGTTCATCTTCAGCGTTTACAACAGCTTGGAACATAAGGCTTGCTCAGTAAATAGTTATCCCTTCTTTGAAGTCAGGACATTAGAATTTGTTTCTGTTCTACCACAAGTTTTATCATCAATTTATTTCCCACAGAGCAGCTAGAGCTTTTAAAATAACTGTGTGCTTATTTAATAAATCCCATTTAATAAATTCCCATATTGAATGAAATCCAATTTCTTGCATACAAAGCCCACAGTGCAGTAATCTGGCCACCACCTACCGGGCCTCATTTTGTACCACTCACCCTCGGTTATGCTCTGGCCTTTCTCTGTTCCTCGAGGTCATTGAGATCGCTACGCTCTTTAGGGCCTCGGCAATAGCAGTTACCTCCGCCTAAAATACTTTTCTTCCAGATCTTAATGGGAGAGGGAGGAGGCACGATCCTTCTAGTTTATAGCTCAGCCCAGATGTCACCTCCTCAGAGGCGACATTGTTCCCAATCTAGTAGCCCTTGATCATTCAGGTCACTGGTTGATTTTCTTCATGCCACTCATCATCCCAAAGTGTCTTATATGGTCTGTCTCCACCTCTCATTCCCTGCCACACACACACACACATACTCTCCTAATAGCATATGAACTCCACGAAAGTAGAGACTCTCCTAGTGTGTCTTGTTTACAGCTATAGCTGCAGTGCCTACTAACTAATAGCACATTGTAGGTATTCAATAAATACATTCAATGAATTTAGTGAAAGACAGTAACCTTAGGCAAGGCTCAGAGTAAGAGCATGCAATCAATATAATAGCTATTATTTCCAAGGCCAGGCTCAGTGGCTTATGCCTGTAATCCCAGCAGGAGTTTGAGCTCAGGAGTTCCAGGTTACAGTGAGCTATGATTGTGCCGCTTCACTCCAGCCTGGGTGACAGAGCAAGACCCTGTCTCAAAAAAAAAAAAAAAAAAAAAAGCTATTATTTCTTATGTCTTTTGATCATCCTTTCTAGTTCACTCATAAAAATTCAGTGTGTCTCAATTTAAGGGGTCATTTTTATTTCTGGTTACTTCTCTCTTCTTGGCCTCCCTATCTCCAACTACAGAAAAAGAAGAAGAAAGAGGAGGGGGGGAATAAGGAGACAAAGGAGGAGGAAGGGAAAAGGAACAGCAGCAGTTGCCCTTCAGTATAGTTTTATACCAACTATTTTAGAATAAACCTTTAAAATTGATATTATCCAATGTTGATGAGGTTGTGGAAAAACTAGCACATTCGGAAACTGCTAGTGAAAATAAATGATAGCTAGCATTTATTAAGCAGTTACTAAGTGCTAAATACACGCTTCATTTCATTTGGTTCTCACAACCCTATGGGATAGTTACTATTACTGTTCCGATGTTATGGATCAAGAAATTGGAGGAGGTTGAATAACTTGAATATGGAAACAGTATTTTGGCATAGCCCTTTTTTAAAACAAGGCAACGAGTGATGTCCTAAAGCCATATTAACATTTCTATCCTTTCACTTAGGACAATCTTGCAAATTTGTTTTCTGGAGTAATTCAAGAGAAGAACTACATGCATAAAGACCTTCACCACAACATAATCTTAAATAGTGAAAAGTGAAAACAGATGTCAAACAAGAGGATGTTTAAGTAATTTATAGAACATCAACATGATATAATATCATGTGGCTACTGAAAATGTTTTCATGGTATAATAATTAAAAATCAGACTATGAAAATGAATACATAATATGCTAATAACCATTTGGGATATATGTATTTGAATAAGGACCAAAAGGGAATAACTCTAAAATGAAAATGGTTGTGTCAAGATTGTAGGAAAAACAAATACCACATGTTCTCACTTATAAGTGGGAGCTAACCAAGGGATATATATGGTCACAAAGTGGTGTATGGACATTGAAAACCCGGACCTCCCGAATGACAGGTAAATAAAGAAGAGAACAGAATTTAAATTAAAAAAACCTAATAAGAAAACTAATAGGGGAAGGGTAGAAGAGGGGTGAGGGATAAAAATCTACCCATCGGCTACAACGTACACTACTGTGGTGATGGGTACACTGAAAGCCCTGACTTCAACATGATACAGTTCTTCTACGTAACAAAAAACACTTGTATCCCCTAAATTTTCGAAATAAAAAAAAAGACTGTAGGATTACAGGAGGGTTTTTTTTAAAAAAATATTTGCTTTAATGTGATTATACTGGTTTTACTCTTAAACATTGAATAAGAAAAATACTCATGATAATGGGAAAGAATGCTGAATTAATATGTGTATTCTGCTGAAGAGAGACCTAATCATTGAACTATAGTCAATATAGTGATCAGTACAAGGCATTTGAGGATACCAAACAAACTTGAGAAATCCATTTTTAGAACTGCTTTAATGAATTCATCAGCAATTTGGAAGACTCCTGGTTGATATGGAGTGGGGATCTATGGTCACTCTTTTCCATGCCATGGTCCGCCTTTGTGTCCAGGCTTTAAGTTAGCTGCTTTGATCAGGATAGTTTTAGACATCAGTGATTTTATAGTTCTGACTTTCGGTCTTGTTCTCGTATGTGGTGTGTCTCTTTCAGAGAAGCCACATTTATGTATCCAGCCTCAGAATTTTGTGAATGGGAAAGAGACTCAGGGGGCTTTGGGATTGGCATTGCTTCTTCTGACTTAGGTTCTTTAACCTCTTGAAGACTTGCAACTGACTCTACCAAATCTGTTCCTGAAAAACTAAGAAAGGCCATGTGTGAGGACATCGTATAAATAGAATTCTTGGTAGCAGTTCGGGGTTACAGGGATATAGCATCAGTAGAATTTCAATTTTTTATAACTGTCAAACACAAAGAAAACCAAATATAATTTACCTTAAGCCTATGTACATGGATGATCTCCTACCTTAAATCAGGGTTCTGTGGGGTGTAGGGGTAAAGGAGTGGCAAGTGGAGAAGGGATTGGAAGAAGGTTCAGTATAAAGGTAGAAAAATTACCCCAAAATGCTATGCTTTCTCAAGCCAGCAGCTCAGGACTAGTTAGGTAGCCATGACTCTCGGGCATATGGATGATTGTTTTTTGTTTTTGTTTTTTTCACTCTCTGCCAGAGCAAGCATGGACAGATGATTGTCTTGACTTTACTAACCTGGAATATGGTAAAAGCAGTATTTTATTAAGTGCTTCAAATTCAGGAATGTCATTAATTGTTTCCTAAAAGGAAAGAAAAGATGACTATTAAAAATTATAATGATAAACCATTGCAATGTGAACCTAGAACTA